ATTGTGTTTCCAGTTTTACAATATATAGTGTACTGAAAGTGTTTCCAGTATTACAATATTTAGTATGCTGAAAGCGTTTCCAGTATTACAATATTAAGTTAGCTGAAAGTGTTTCCTGTATTACAATATTTAGTGTGCTGAAAGTGTTTCCAGAATTGCAATATATAGTATACTGATTGTGTTTCCAGTTTTACAATATATAGTGTACTGAAAGTGTTTCCAGTATTACAATATTTAGTATGCTGAAAGCGTTTCCAGTATTACAATATTAAGTTAGCTGAAAGTGTTTCCTGTATTACAATATTTAGTGTGCTGAAAGTGTTTCCAGTATTACAATATTTAGTGTGCTGAAAGTGTTTCCAGTATTATAATATTAAGTGTACTGAATGTGTTTCCAGTCTTACAATACTTAGTGTACTGAAAGTGTTTCCAGTATTCCAATATTTAGTATGCTGAAAGCGTTTCCAGTATTACAATATTAAGTTAGCTGAAAGTGTTTCCTGTATAACAATATTTAGTGTGCTGAAAGTGTTTCCAGTATTACACTATTTAGTGTACTGAATGTTTCCAGTATTGCAATATATAATGTACTGATTGTGTTTACATTATTATAATATTTAGTGTGCTGAATGTGTTTCCAGTATTATAATATTTAGTGTACTGAAAGTGTATCCAGTATTACAATATTTAGTGTGCTAAAAGTGTTTCCAGTTTTACTATATATAGTGTGCTGAAAGTGTTTCCAGTATTACAATATTTAGTGTGCTAAAAGTGACCCCAGTCTTACAATATTTAGTGTACTGATAGTGTTTACAGTATTACAATATTTAGTGTGCTGAAAGTGTTTCCAGTATTACAATATATAGTGTGCTGAAAGTGTTTCCAGTATTGCAATATATAGTGATTGAAAGTGTTTCCAGTAGTACAATATTTAATGTGAATGTGTCTCCATTATTGCAATATTAAGTGTGTTGAATGTGTCGGCTGTCTTGCAATATTTAGTGTGTTGAATGTGTCTCCAGAATTAACAATATTAAGTGTAGTGAAAGTGTTTCCGTTCTTGCAATAATAATAGTACTGAATGTGTAACCGATCTTATAATATTTACTGTGTTGAATGGGTCTCCATTCTTATAATATTTAGTGTACTGAAAGTGTCGTCAGATTTTCAATATTTAGTGTGCTGAAAATGTTTCAATTGTTAAAATACATGTATTTGGTGTGAATGTGTCCCAGGAATTACAATATTTAGTGTGCAGAAAGTGTTTTCGGTCTTACAATAATTTATGTGCTAAAAGTGTCTCAAGTCTCACAATATTTATTACATGTATGCTCAATGTCTCTCATGTCTTACCGTAATTAGTGTGTTACTGTGTTTTTCAGTTTTAAAATTTATATTGTGCTAAATGAAATTCAAGTGTTACAAAATTAAGTTTCTTGCGGATGTCTACAGTCTCACAAAATGTAGAGAGCTCAATGTGTTTCAATTACTAGTATTATAATTCTAATATTTAGTGTGTTCAATGTTTTTTTCCAAACCTACCATTTTTAGTGTACATTATACTTAATACTTCTTTCCAGTTTAACAATATTTGAATTGCTTTTATTTCTAGTATTACAATATTTAATGTGTTGAATGTCTTTATACTCTTATTCTCCTAGGCAGTGTTTTGAGTGGGGTCTCAAGTGTTTAAGTCCTTTGTATACTGGCCCCGGGATCATGAAACATCTTATAAGCTTAAGTCAAAATCTTTAAATTATACTTAAATATATTAGAAGACAAGCAGACCCAAATTAAAATATGTTTCAAACATTCAATATTGATTCATAATTAAAAGTGTTGTTATTCAGAAATTTTAATATTAATTCAATAATGAATAATTATTTTACAGGGTTTGAAAATTTGACTTTTAAAAGTTTAAGTCTGTTTCTAATCGATCTTGGGGCCTGGATGATTGATCACTACCCTTACAACATTCAGTGTGCAGAGTGTTTCCTGTTTGACAATATTTTGGGTAACTATTACGGTACGTATTGCGTATTTCAGTATCTGTTCTAGCATCCCTAGTTCTACAATATTTGCGTACTGGGTCTATGCATTTGGATATTTAGAGAAACAGACTAACAATGGAGCTAAACAAAAATTTAATTGGTCAAGGAAATTATGCTGTTCAACACCGATTATATTATTGACCGGACACTATTCTAAATTTTCTAACAAAATATTAGGAGTTAAGGATTTGTGTTCGGGGATAAATTTTCTGTTTCTAAAACCTCTAAAGAGAGATGTTGCTGATTTTGTAATTAGACAGAGACCGGTATTTGTGTGGTTCTGAAGTGCTTTGGAGAGACGAAACCATTGATTTTCCTCCTCTTAACATGTTATCGAGAGAGAAGAAAAAACAAACAAGAACATGAAGAATGTAGTGCTAATTGAATCCTGAGTGATCTTAAGAATCGCCTTGTATCACCAACTTCTCCCAATCAACCCCAGCTTATAGATTCCCCTTCACTGACAATCCCCTAATCATGCCGAAAACAGGTCTAATTTCGACAACCGAAAAACAAGTTGGATTGTTTTTCTATCTTTTTTTTCAATTTCAGAAACTTTATCTGTTGCCTATCCTAAGCCTTGAGCACGAAACATTTTAAATTAGGTTCTTTTCATGATACTCACAACTTTGTGATAATTATTTCCCCTATCCTTGCTTTTTGCATTATAATTACATACTATACTCATATAAAACTGTACACTATATCATTACAAATGCAGCTAATTTTAAAAAAGAAAAAATATGTGTACAATCTTTGCTTCTTATTGATAAGAAGTTTGAAATATTTTCATCTTAATTTCAAAAACCAATTAGTCCGATTTGTGCTAGAGTTAAAAAAAGAAAACAACAAGTAAAAGAAGCACAAACTAAGCTCGAAGAAAGAAGAAGATGAAGAATATATTTAAAGTTTATTTTCTAGAACTAAACCTAAGTGGATAGATAATGGAGAGAAGCCTACATGTACCAAATATTTTCTGAGTCTGGGGAGAAGAAATTGTAAAAAAAAAAAAAAAAAAAAAAAAGAAAAAAGAAAAAAAAAAAACATATAACTAATAATGGTATTGTCACCTGGCAGTCTGATATTCTAACAGCAGTATATTCATGTGGGAACATATTAAGTTATACGGCGCAGAATTGGAAAGCATCATTAGTATACTGAACACATTGATGTATTTGCGCTTAAAGAACTTGAAGGTTTGATATTAAAAGAGGAATTCCTATGATTTATGAAAATATTTAATAATAAAGATCAGATATAATATTTGTTCCAGAAAACTTTTATCAAACATTTATTTTAAACAGTAACACAAAAAATGGAAGCTTTAACGAAACTACGCCCCAACATTTTTCGATGGAGGTATTTATAAAATTTTGATGATAAAAAATCCTATACTAAAGGAACAGTAAGCAATCGTGACGCCATAGAGTTTTTTTTCAAAATTAAAAGAACCGATTTTTCTGTTTTTTATTGATGTTCATTTATTTATTCATATGATAATTTTGGCTACTATATCACTAAGCACACTAAATATGTACATGTTTTGATAAATCATCCATGAATATATTTTGTTGAATATAAAATTCCGATTCTTTCCTTAAGTAACTATTCTTGCGGATTTTCTCGTTATTTCCCGATCAGGACGAGGAGAACACAGCAAAAGTGACCAGTCGGTAGAGGATGCTCACTTCTCCATGGCACCTGATACCACCTCTGATGTTTTGGAGGTCCGTGTTTGCTCTGCTTCATTTTTGTATTGTTTTATGGACTTTTGAGCTCGAATCGTGTTCGTTATCTCCATTTGCTAAATTTGACAATGGAATGTTTTGCCTACCTAATCGCACAATGAGCATGACCAGTCAATAGGGGGTGCTTACCCTTTTAGGGATTGATCCCACCTCTGAAATTTCCTGAGGCCCATTTTTTATGCCCAGTGTTCACAGATTTGTTTTGTTAGCAGATTATTTTAGTTGGATCACTGGTCGTTATTTTCGCCTTCTTATTTAAGTGTGTCCCCATTATTTTCATTGGTCTACAAATCTTTCCTGTCATTTAATTTGTCCTTACCGTAATAAACAATTTGAACAATAACTTATCGTAAAATAATTTAAAACTAAACTAGAGGTTCTGAGAACACTGAGCTCGCAAAATGATACCACTGCCTCCGATATGATTATAATGACAAAGTCTATGTTTTGAATTGGGAGACCAGAAATTAGTGTCAGATCAAAAAGTTAACATAGAAGTCCTACTTGTCTTTGACATCTGATCCCACCTTTAGTATTTTTAGGGTTCAGTTTTTTTCTCTCTTCACAATATATATTCTTTACTAGAATTATAAGTTGAAAAGTTAGATATCTGATCCGTTTTCTCATTAAGCTTCATTATGAACGACCTTTAAACCTCAACAGTTCAGTGTTGAATTTATATAGGAGACGCAGAGTGTCGTCATTCGTCAAGATCGATTCTGCCTTTTCATACAATATTATAATGCAATATGATTACGTTCTCTTAGACTAGGTTTTCGTTTTTTGTCATCTTAAGATAATTTTTATTTAATATATTATTTTTATATATTATATAATATATACAGTATTATATTTAATATATTATAAATTCTATATTCACAAAAAAGTTTATTGCAATTTTCCTAATTTTGCAAATGCATATATATGATATCAGCCTCATTTCTCTTGATAAACAATTTCTTTTCAAAAATGATAAAGTTAATGAACTCTATATATAATAGATATACCTATGTACTATATATTGCATATTCTAGGATCTGATCATGCCAAAATCCTTTTCAAAGATGAAATTGCCTGTACTTAAAACTATTATTTTACTCTCCAACGCAATACGAGAAGATTGAAAATGTAAAAAGAAAGGCAACAGATTCATCATTTTAATGAAATTCAAATGAAGATTAATTTTAAAGATGCTCTGCTAAAGATGTTCATTTTGTGCACACAACACACGTTAGATACATATTATTATGATAAGGAGGACATGGCAGCGAGCCACACACCGCTTTGACGGAGTGGACCCATTTTCCGTCATCGTTACGTTCTCCTGCTCTTAGGGCCTCGGGATGTTCATCAACACAGATGTACTGCGAAGCTGCTTTGCTTGCATAGTATCCGGTTGCTAAGTATCCATGATACTGCTCCGTCCATCCCGAGTAGCAGCTATTTTTTCCTGGAATCATCAAGACGCTGGATTGCGTCTTCCTTCTGCAAACTACACAAGGCAAGTCATCTCCATCATGCAGACCAAAGTCAGTGGAGTCGTATTCTGCTCCATACATATAAGAAAAAGAGGAGGTGAATTTTGTGGTCAGGTTTGGGTCGGGTGGTAAACAAACAAACTCAGCTGCAGCACCAGTGTGGCTTTGATGAGATCCTCCACCAAATCCTACAAAGGCCAAAAACCAAGTTATCTAAAAATAATTATGACAATATTCGAATTTTGATGTCTATCATCGAATTGAATCGTTTTTTGATAAAAGTGATGATAACTTTTAAATAATTTAAAAATCTGTGTTTCCTCTGCCCTCGATTTGAATTGTTTTATTTGACTTTCGAGCTTGATTACATTCCTTAATTATCATTATGTTTCACCATAAAGAACCTCTTCACATCCTTTTTCTAGGCACCTGCTAAGTCTTATAAAAGGTAGTAACCGTTCCTTTTTCAAGCACTGGGTATTTCAAACTGAAATTTATGGGTATTTCGTGATGAGTCTTGAAAACCGATGCCCACTTATCTCAGTACATGTAATAAGTTCATTCACTGCTCAGTGGTTGTAGGTTCCGAGTAAAAGTAGCTCATTTACCGGTTCAGGTAAGGTTTATTTATGCGTGAAATGTTCAAACTAAGAACGTTTAGTAACATACAATCAATCAATCGTAGCACTTTCAAAACTACCTGAGTAAACAAGTTCAGTGTTGTTATCAGAAGGACAATCCTTTCGCCCCCATCGTACAAACACTCCACTAGCTGAAATGTACAATTATACGTCAAATTTTGCGTTATATATAGATTGGGAAGAAGATCAAAATCATTCAAGAAAGTAACCATATTACAAACAATTTTCCAATTTTCCATTTGTTTTAAATACCTCGTTCAATTGTCCTTATAAGTTTATTTACTTGGATAAAATTTAAAATATTTGATATCTTTTCTTGTTT